AASGCCAGTGAGATGCAAGTAAAAATAGAAGATGCAAGTAAGGATAGAAGATGCAGGTAAGAGTAAAAGATGCAAGTAAGAATAGAAGATACAGAGAAAACAAGACACGAAAGACCCAAGCAAGAAACAGAAGGCCCAAAGGGAAAGCCAAGCAGACACTCAGGGGCAGGATGAGGAATGGCAGAACAGAGCAAGACAGTGGAGACGAGGCAAGTGGAAAGGGAGATGCTCAAGGACGAGACACAGGCATAGCAAAGCAAGATGGCAGTGAAAACAGGGCAAGGGAGAAGGGAAATGCTCGAGGACAAAATCAAGGCAGCACAAGTCAAGAAAACGAAGCAGTCGCTCAAGAGTAAGGTCGAGCAGACGCTGAAGCAGGAAAGAGAAGAAGACTGGAGCGCCAGAGGCAGGTAAGAATAAAGATGCAAATGCAAATCCAAACCTATCTAAGTGCAATAAGAATAATAAGGATAGGTAAGGATGAGTGCGAATGCAAAGATGTGGAGGAAGAGAAGTCGGAGAACGCGAAAATCAAGACGCAAGCGGGTAGTAATGGCGCGGAGGGAGTTCGCCACTGCAAAAGATCAACTTGCTGCGCGGGATCAACTCGACGGGCGCGATGTTGTTGGTTGTTGGATTATAGTTTGTGATTAGGTTTGCGCCTGCAGGTGGTACCCGTCATTGGCCCTAGTCGGAATAAGCTTTTGATTCTGCAGTGCTGACCAATTGCATTACAAATTCAGAATTAAGCTTTCGGCGCTCGGCAGCACTAGCGACCGGCGCTGTCAGGTATACGCCACCTGCATGATTCGAGACAATTGGTTCAATTTGGTTGATTGCGCTGATCTGCGCACAGGATCACGTAAATTGAGGGATGTATTTTTCGCACATATCTCTAGATTACTAGCTGGGCTTGATTAAACACAATTTTCGACCGCTTCGTTGCTAGATCATGCTCTGTTTGCAGAGCCATCGAGATTGGCTGAATAGAGTTGATCCAGGTCGACCTCGAGACGCGACGTGTTTCCAGGGACCAAATCAGAACCGTGGGCGACCACAATTAGGAAGGCACGCGTCCTCCCGCTACGTCCAGCGCGTCATGAAAGTCTACAGTATGAAGTTTACCAATTTGCGAGTCGAGAATGTTTGCGTTTGCCTCTAAAATTCCAGAGCCCAGCTTCGCTCTAATTGTTTTGCTATTTTTCGCTCCGTCATCCTTCCTTCATGTATTTCTCGGTCCAAGTATTGTATGCGAATTCGTCTCGGGGCAATTACTGGTACCACTCTGTCAAATGATGAAGGCCGGTCGCTCTGTTTGTCTTATGCAAGAGTCCCACAGACCTCATCAAATTGGGTATCTAACGCGTTCACTCCTCATGACTCGTGTACATAGTGGCTCTTGTGCTGAAAGGCTTGATTTATGTACATATTTCTTGCTCTTTTCTGCTTTACCAAGGCTCCATGCACTCATCATTCCTTGTATGCCCGCTTCGTGTCATTAACGGCTCCAGGTCATATAGGTAGCTCGCCAGCGATTAATCAACAAATTTCATCCACGGCTTCGTGAATCTTAGAAGTACGTGCATAGTAGTAGTGGTTCCTCATATCTAGTTCATAGTAGCCAGGATATGCCTGTGCAGATAAAGCGTGGCTCCGCCACACACAGCGAAGCGTCGTTATATATAACCGCACAAATTCCAGTCAAGGTAACCAAGAGGTCATAGCCATCTAGTACTATCGCCCTGTCGCTCCTCTTCATAAAGCTGGCTGTATAATTCTTTCTAGTAGGATCTTTAACGCTCTTTTTGCTTTGTATAGCTTGGCGAGCTCGCTTTTACCTAGCAACCATGTGCGGAGTTTAGATGTGGCCGGACTAAAATCATTCGGGTGTGGGTGATTCACGAGCCCCAAGTAGTTGCTACCTTATTAGACGTCACCAGAACAGTGAAAATAGTGGAAAACTAGATTATCGATCAAGGAACGGCGCTATGTATCATTAATGTACGGCAGAATGAGACACGAATACATCGCTATGGAGATTCGCCTTGCCCAGCTCCTAATCCTGATATCGGAGCCTCGTATAAACAATGCCAAGCAAATACAAAAAAGACAAGACTCCGATACCACGAGGTAAGCCGACCAATCAAATAAACAAGAAGAAAAGGAACAGAACAGAAGAAAGTTCATGGGCTACGATCAGAAGATCAAGGAACGAGCTTTCTGCCGCCGAGATTCCGCGCTGCGGGCATCAGGTTGCGACTGCGTGTGCTTATGCCGCGGTCGTGGAGCAGGAGCATTGTGTGCTGTAGGCGCCTGCGCCGGAGGAGGTTTGATATCTTTCTTGACAGGCGGAGGAGGTGCGGCTCCGAATTGAGAGAAGCGATCACCCGTTTCTCGTCGCGTTGCCTTCATGCTCCGCTCCCGTTTTAGCACGAGCTCGGTCCAAGGCTTGGCTGAGTTGGCTCCACTCGGTCCCTTGCCAACGGTCTCCGAAAGGACCTTCATCCAGTCTTCTTTAGCGGCCGGGCTGTCAGCATAGAAGTCGATTACCTCTCCATTGCCGAAACGAATACGGAATCCCTCCTCCACGAACATATACCCTTCCTCCTCTTCGGCAAACGCAGACTTACGTCGCTTGCCACCACGCGCTGTCGTCTCTTTTTGCGTCAATGTGCTCCGATCGTCAATAAGTTTGGCGGCCTTGGCCAGGTTGATGGTCGCGCGAGGTTGGCGGGACGTTTCGTGGTAGGCTGTCAATTTCGTACCCTGGAGCTTGAAAAAACGACGACGCCAGTACTACAAGAGTCAGTCAGGTTACCTTAAATAGTATGATGTGGTGAGCTTACCGGACAATCGCCACCTTGTTGCGAAAGGAAACCTTCCCAGCTACGGGTCGACGCAGTCTCCGCCTCGCGCATCTCACGGATGCAGGCATTCATGCTCTTTGGCATATCCTCATCCTTGGTTCCCTTGGGCTTGGGGACGAACAGCAGTTGCAGCTCCAGCTTTCCAATCTTGTAAGGGGGACGGCGTTGGGACATGCCGCTGGCGGTGCTCTTCTTGCTCTTTACGCTGCTTGGCTGCTCATCAACAGCCCATTCGTTGAAGCAAGCCACATCGACATTGTATGGTCGTCCAAATGCGTGCTTTTCGTGGTCACTGAGGGCTGTGTAGGCACGAGCAAAGCTACCGTCCCTAGCAACAAGCGTTCGAAGGCGTTCCCAAACAGGCGCATTGGGATCCTGCTTTTTCTGCTGTTGCAATGCGAGCTGCTGCTTCATATCGAGTTCCTTTCGCTTGCGCGGTGATGCAAACATCTTACTGAATGTAGACTGCTTTTGGCGCGATGGGGACGCTGAAGGGGCAGGCTCTTGGATCCTGAACTTTTCCTCATCCATCTTCATTTGGAGCGTGAGCTGGAACTCCAGGTCGTTCTGAACGATGAGTTCGAACTCTTGTCCAATAGGAGCAGTCTTGCCCAGTTCCAGCCAAGCAGTTGTTACGCAGTGTAGACCGTTATCCAAGGTAAGGGAGAAGTATGTTCGCTCTCCTGTTGTGACGGGAAATAAGTCAGCATGGACACTAGGTCAGGTGCGTGGGGCACATACCTTTCGGGAGCGGCAAATCAAGATACTTGAGTCCGACAACCTTCACAAATAATCTACCGCGCTCTTCGCCATCCTCGAAAGTAGTGTTAAGATTCTGTTCAATCTCTTCAACCGGAGTTGGAGGCTCTTGGGTGATGCTCGGCTGTCCTGGCAACGGCGGCACAGGTCCGCTGACGGGCTTTTTGCGGATCGCACCGGAGGGGGTACGGATACTGGCGCGACGAGCCCCAGAATTCCAGGGGACTGTAGTCCAAGTCTGCTGGCTGGCCTTACGCTGTGGGGATGGGCCGGGCCTCGTACCCTGTGCACCAGCAGACGGCTCTCCGTTCGTCGTCGGCACGGGTTCCTCCTCAGGGCGGCTACTCGCGACAATGACTTTGGTATTGTGTCTCATGAGGTAGCCTCTCTGTGTAGACGTTGGGTAGTTAGCACGTGCTAAGTAATTGGGATGGGTTCCTGTGTGGGGTGCAGAGGTTTCCAGGGTGCGGGGAGGGGCCGATGAGGATTGCAATTGGGAAAGGGCTAGCTCAAACGCAACCTTTTGGGACTCAATGACTCGATCGAATTCTTTATCCAAGCCGAATCCAAGACTTTCGTCTTCTTGGATGCTGAACGGGATGTCCAGTTTCATAAAGCTAGGCTTGCGGGGCGACGCCCCTGTTGAGGGCCCGGGTTGTAAGGTTTGGTCCTGAGAAGAGGTTTCTACTTCTTGAGTTTCTGGTTCGTTGGACGGCTCAGTTGCTGGGACGACCTGGCCGCTCACTTGACGGCGGGTTGCAGCCATCTGTTCAACATCTGCACGGGTCAGTGAGGGGCGAATCTTTAGACTGCTGCCGCGTGCTTTGACGGTCGCGATGGGCTCGGGCACGCTTTCATCCGCCGACTCCTCGAAATCGCTGATCTCAGCATCCACGGGGTGCCTAATTACAGAGTCGGGAGTCGAGGGCGGGGATATTTGATCAGCGGTCTCAGGAGTGACAGGACGGCGAAGGGACTCTAGCATGGCGGTCATCTTGGGAGCAGCGACCTGACCACCCTGATGCCATTCCTCCGTCTTCGGCTCTTCGACCTTAGGCTCTTCGACCTTAGGCTCTTCGACCTTAGGCTCTTCGACCTTAGGCTCTTCGACCTTAGGCTCTTCGACCTTAGGCTCTTCCACCTTAGGCTCTTCCACCTCAGGGTCTTCCACCTTAGGTTCTTTGGTCTTGAGCTCCTCCGCCTTGAGATATTCGGCTTTGGGCAATGATTTGTCGCTTGAATCCTCCTCGACTCGACCTGTGGGAACTGGCGTTGCTTCGGATGGCACAGAGCCGTTGCTCTTTGAGAAAATCTCCTCCATGGAGTGGTTAGAGCAATGCCTCTCGTCGTCTTCATTCTGCTGGTCTTTTAGATCCTTGAAGGAAGAATCTTTCGAAGGGATGGTTCCATAATAGTCGGGTATATCGTAAAGGTCATCTGTGTCGTCCTCCTGTTCGGGTTTGATGATGACACTATTCGTTTCGTCGTCATCATCTTCGTAGCTGTTGTCATTGTCGCTCTCAAGCGAAGGAATGGGGACATCAGGGTCGTAGCTAGCGTATTGAAGTGGACTGGCGCTTCCTTGAGACGAGGTTTCATATGAATCATCCAGATAGTCATCGCCGCGGCGAAGGTCGCGCAAGATGGAGTCTCTGGAGATGCGTGGAGGAGAAAACACATCCGGCTCATTTTCTTGAGTTGGAGTAGCGTCGTCATCCGTAACCTCCGACTCCTTAGGTTCGTCCGGTGTCATTTCTTCAGTCGTATCTTCTTCATTCTTGATGTTGTTGGTCGGCTTTTCATTCGCATTTTCGCGCTCCTCCCGTTGAATCATCATCAAGCGCAGCCTGTCCTCTAGGGACATGGAATTGTGGCCAAGTCCCGAGATGTCAGACTTGCTGTACGCGGCTGTTGCTGGTGGCGCGGGAAGAACACGTTGATTTCCTCTTCCAGGTTCGAATGCAGCGGCTGATTTGTCTGAAGGGGTCGCGCGGGGACTAAATGACAATGCTTGGATGGCCGGAAGCGGCGGTAGAGGACGGCGCTCGCCGTTGGAATCGAGAGACTCGACGCGAGACCGTCTGGTGGGAACCTGTTGCGTGGATGTAACACGGGGTTCGGGGCTCTGGCTTCCTTCGCTAGTAAACGGATCTTCGTCCTTTTCCACCAGTTCATCATTTGCGCTATCTGGGCTCATGAAGCGCCAGTCCTCGGGCATGACGACAGGGGTCTTTTCAAGATCTTCCAGGGAAGCGTCAAAGCTGTCATCACGGTCCATAGAGCCGCGATCGAAGCTAATGTCGCCTTCGTCTTCTTCTGAATCGTAGCTCCCCTCACGAGACTCGGATGCAATTGAGGATGGGTCAGGGGTGGTCATTTCATATTCATTAACCTGGGGTGGAGCGGCATCAAAAGTAACACATTTTGTGTAGCGAGTACCATCGATGTCCGACCAAATCTCATTCTCCGGGTCAAAGGCCATGTCCTTGGTGCCAAATCGACTAGCGCGAGAGAGAGACGACTTGGCAGGAGGGGCCTGGTCCTTGCTAGGCGACGGAGGTCGAGGTCCCATTTGGGCCTTGTCTGCACTGCCAGGGCGAGCTGTAGCCGCACCAGGGCTTTGTTTTTCGTGTGAAATTCGATTGATCGCAAGCGGTCGTTGGGGAACATAGACACTAGCAGGGTCGTACTCTTGGTTGTAGTCGCGGAACATACTGTTGCCTTTGACTCGGGATGCGCGCTTCAGGTTCTCAAGAGAAGGCCTCTTGGAAGTGGAGAATGGCGCATCGGGCTCGTAAGGTGCTTGGTTCTCCGAGCTCTTCTGAAAGGGCGAACCCGAATCACGACCTTGCCAGAAGCGGCGCGTTGAAGAGGGAGATTCATATGGCGATGAATCAATGCTTTTTGTTGACTGTTCCAGTGAAGTCAGCATGATCCTGACCGAAGGAATACAGGCAGCCTACCTTAGTGCCCTGGTTCCAGATGGGAGAGTTGCGACGGTGAGCCATTGGGCTCACTTCTGACAGTGGCCGTTGCCCGGTGCCGTTGACCATGTTGCGAGACTTTCTCAAGGTCTAGAAAAACAACCTAAGAGGGAAGAAAACCAAGAGCAGACGAGGCAACAAAGTAAAAAAAACAAGGCTAGAAAGTGATCAGTAAACTTGTTTCATCTCGTGTCGGGTCTCCATCCCTTGCGGAGTCGGAACGCGCCCATACCTATTCTTGATAAACAAAAACAACAGACGTCAGATTTCCACGCCGCTCAGAGAAAAATGTCAAAGAAGTCCAATCCAAGTTGTGATCGCTCCAATAACACCCCTAAGTGCGTAACTCGTAAGACTCGTAAAAGGTCACAAAGGGAAGGTCATTTAAAGCGGTTGGTGGTTTCGTTAATTTTGTGTTTTTCTTTCTTTTCCCCGAGTCAATCACAGTAAAGAAGGACTATGGAAGTCAAATGGGAAGAGATCGTGGTTGGATGAGATTCAGAACAAAGTCGTAATGAGATGGTTCAAATACAACGCAAAGCGAAACACACACACATGCCATCCACCACTGGCAAGAAGACAAGACGTCAGAGGAAGACGGAGGAGGATCTAGAAGAGAAGAGGAGACGCAAGTGGGAGCGTTAAGTAGGCCTGCGATCGCTGGTGCCGTGGTTGGAGACGACGGACTCGTGGAGCCTGAGGAGCCGCGAGGATGTTGACATTTGGCTGGCGGGAGTCTCCCGGGCAACTGCAGCCCTGGCTTGGAATATCGGAGCCTTGGCGCCTGAGCGCCTGCCTCTCTCGATCGAGCTAGGCCGGATCTGGCCTAGCGCCTGCTAATCCCCGGCGGTCCAAGCTTCTTCCCCTTCGAGGATCTTTTTTCTCCTGCGGCGAAAGCTGGTCCAGACTTTTCCATCACTCTTCACCCCGGCCCCGATCCAGCGATGAACCGGTTAAGCGGGCTGTCCCTGCCCCTCAGGCCGTCGGTATGCCTGTTCTGCCGTGCTCAGACTTCCCTTTCCATGTCTCCCTTCCAGGGAGGACAGGCTGTTCGCTCGTTGGCGACTGGCCGCCTCCGCCGAGGAAAAGCCCGCATGACGCTCTCCAGAGATGTCGCTAAATCATCCCTTAAATCGAAGCGAGAAGACCGTGGTAGGATTGGCCCCTTTTCCAACATGAATCAGACACAGGCGCGCGTTCGTGATGACCCGCGTTCGCGTTCAGCAGCCGCCTTGAGACGCTCCGGAGACACAGAAGAAAAGCCCGCGACGAAGACCGACAGTCCGCTGTACAAGGCTTTGAAGATGCAAACGACGCTCGCACCCATTTCTTATGGTCGACGAACAGCAATCAAAGCGAAAATCGCTGAAATCACGAGCTTCGACGTCTTTCCTCTCCTCCCCATTGTCCGAAACTCGATCTACTCACAAGCCCTGCCTCACATACCGGATGCCGTGCCTACTCCTATCCAACGTGTTGCGATCCCGAGGCTTCTCGAAGATGCTCCAGTCAGTAAGAAGCTGAAGAAGGTGGACGATGAAAAACCCAATTACCCTCAGTACCTTCTCGCCGCAGAGACCGGTTCGGGAAAGACACTGGCATATTTGATTCCTGTGATCGACGCCATCAAGCGCCAAGAGGCGCTGGATAAAGAGATTGAGAAAGAAGAAGAAGAAAAGAAGGCGCGGGAGAGAGAGGAGAATAAGAAGAATCAGGCATTTGATCTGGAACCCGAAATCCCCCCACTATCCAATGCAGGAAGACCTCGGGCGATCATTCTGGTACCGACGGCGGAGTTGGTTGCTCAGGTTGGAGCCAAGGTTAAGGCCTTTGCACACACAGTGAAGTTCAGGTCCGGTACCATCTCCTCCAACCTGACGCCTCGCCGTATCAAGAGCACTCTTTTCAACCCCGCCGGTATCGATGTTCTAGTCTCGACCCCGCATCTTTTGGCATCAATTGCCAAAACCGACCCCTACGTCCTCAGCCGCGTCAGTCATCTCGTTCTCGACGAGGCTGATTCTCTCATGGATCGATCATTCCGGCCAACAACAACAGAGATTATCAGCAAAGTGTCCCCCTCGCTGAAGAAGCTCATATTCTGCTCGGCCACGATCCCCCGTAGCCTCGATACTCAACTGCGCGACCGTTACCCTGATATCTGGCGGTTGACGACACCTAACCTGCACGCGATTCCCCGTCGTGTTCAACTAGGCGTTGTGGATATCCAGAAAGATCCATACCGCGGAAACCGCAACCTCGCCTGCGCGGACGTGATCTGGTCCATCGGCAAAGGTCAAGGCGACGATGAACCCATCGCCCCTTGGCAAGAGCCAAGAGTAAAGAAGATCCTCGTATTTGTCAATGAACGCGAGGAAGCCGACGAGGTCGCCCAGTTCCTTAAATCCAAGGGCATCGACGCTCACTCCTTCTCGCGTGACTCGGGCACCAGAAACCAGGAGGAAGTCCTTGCTGAATTTACCGAACCAACCGTCATCCCTTCTGCCGATGAGATCCTCCTGGCCCGCAAGCAGAAGAAACGCGATAGCGGGAATATCCCCTTCGTGCTGCCAGAGCGGACAGCCCAAGGTCCCGAGCGCCTGCTACAAGGCGTCAAGGTGCTTGTCACAACCGACATCGCCTCCCGCGGTATCGACACCATCGCCGTGAAAACACTTGTCCTCTACCACGTCCCGCACACGACTATCGACTTTATCCACCGTCTCGGTCGTCTGGGACGTATGGGTAAACGTGGACGTGCAGTTGTGCTGGTTGGCAAGAAGGACCGCAAGGATGTGGTCAAGGAGGTTCGCGAGGCTATGTTCAGGGGTCAAGCTCTGATTTAGTTCCTGAATTCGAATGTGAGCTTGTGCTTCTACGCTTTAATGTCTGGGTATTCATGCTGGCGCTGGAATCGACTTGAATAAATACCCATCTTGACTAACCTGCTTGGACTCTAATGGCTGTATCATACCATCTCATGTATATTATCATCTCATCTTTACTAGCATATATATAGACGGCGCTCTGAACAACATGTATTTTCACTATTAACAGATCAAGTCAGGTAGATGTCTATAATTCCTCTGAAAATAGGGCCCCGCCGCGTTTGCCAAAGTTACACGTGACTAATCCCAGTCTTCACTCGTTGGCTGTGTCCAATTGTCAACTGCCCCCACTGTCAACTATCCCACCAAAGTAAACACCATCTACAAGTTATTTACAGTCTCTACTCTCAGCTCTCAGCTCTCAACATCGAATAGAACCCAATACAACAAGAAAACTCCACCTTGCCAACACACTGAAAATGTCTAAATCGAACCAAAAACAAGCACCAGGTGAAACATCCCTCACCAAACTGCTCGCAACGCTTCAACCAATTCTCCACTCGGAAACCTACATCTTCCTCACAATCCCACCCTCACACCCCTCATTTGGGGATCTTGCCACTCTCCACGCCAGTCTGCAACCAAAGATGCTCTTTCACGAACGCGAAGGCCTAACGGTGATAACAACGCCGGCTCTCGCCTCGGCCGCGGGCTTCGAGAAGGACAAGGACTACGTCTTCGAATGCAAGATGATTACGCTGACGGTGCATTCGAGCCTCGAGGCTGTGGGGCTTACGGCTGTGTTTTCGAAAGCCTTGACGGAGAAGAATGTCAGCGCGAATGTTGTTAGTGGGTTCTACCATGATCATATTTTTGTTCCGGTGGGAAAGGAGGATGTTGCGGTGCGAGTTTTGGAAGAGGTGCAGCAGGAGGCGCTGGCTCGGACGAAGGCGGAGGTTGAAGCGGAGGCTTAAGAAGCTCATAGCCGTTACGGACCAGTGGCTATGGTATTCACAAAGATAGAAGTCGTATTTGTTCGATATGATATACCCCAGCCTGCTGACCAAAGCTTCAGAATTAGACTTGTTGGCTTAGCGTTTCAAGGTATAAACATAGCCCAGATTTGGAGCAGGGAACCGGAAAGAAAACCAAACAATCTTGTGAGGCGGACTGTGGCGTGTACCAACATTGACTAGAATCAACATGCGGCCACTGGGAAGGGCTCTATACAACCTGGTTAGCACTGCTTCATCAACAATATGAGTATCTTGAACCTGCAGGTTTTAACGCAACGAATCTCCACCCAGGTACACCATGCCGCGTACAATGTTGACTGTCCATCATGAGACCTCAGTCAAGAAGAGTGCTATTTTCAGACTAGAACGTCCTGCGTGTCCTAGCTTCTCAGTCCACCTGGCCTTGTGCCTCGGAGCAAGCAACGAGGACTGTTGCGAAGACAAGCATATTCTCAAAGAGTGAGAACCATGGCCGGGTCCAGCACTGGAAGGATGTTGCTGAGTGGAGTATTCTCCCTCAAACCCCCAGCTCCTCTCTCCGGTATATCTTGGTGTCCTCCTTTCTCGGTGTCTTTCCGTGTCTCTATCGCACGCTCGAGTACCTACTCCGTAATAATATCACTGGCATCTGGGAACGTCAACAGAACTGATTATGATCGGGATATTTAGATACTAGGTGGACATGGGCCTGAGCACTGGATTAATCCAGGTGTCAGCAAACTATCAGGCAGCGCTGGATGGGGAAGACTGACTGAGGCTCTTAATGCGTCGATTCACGCTGGGTGTCTTTAATCTTGACAGCGCTATGATCAATAGAGCGATAAGTGCCTTACATGCGCATAGAGCCCGATGATGGCGAGCTTCTTCTGAATCAGAAGGCTGATTGCAATGGCGCTGGTGGATGATGGTGGTCACGGATGTGAGGACGAGCAGAGAGGGAATAGGACGGGCTTGCCCGGACCTCGCGAGTCGTTCGCTCTTTCCCCGAGTGTACGGCCAAGCATCGGATGTCCGTGATATCGGCGACTCAAGATTGATATTCCCTGGTTGATACCAGAGAAGGAACAGAGTTAATGGCGTGATGTTATACGTGAGGTCAACCTCCAATGGCTCTAGGTTCAACCCTGTCTAGAGATTCTCCGCGTCTCGTCTTTTTGTCAATGAGGAACTCATGCATTTTTGACTAACTTGCTGACTGAAAGCATTCTTTCTCCTGCGTTCTACCCTCTGCCCTATCCACCACTTTGGCTGAGCATCTAACGGAAATGACAAGCAAATAGAAGATCCAATGCCAATCGAACCCCTCGGCCGCCCCGTCATCACAACGCTTAGAACGCAGAATAAGGCGGCGGCGCATCCTCCCTCCTGTCATTACCATCACCACGCCCGCGCCCATGGCCATGGCCAATCTCATTGAAATACTCGTTCTCATACTCCCGCGGCCCTCGTCCTCGTCCTCCAATCGTTACCGCACGAGGAGGCTCACGAACACCGACACCACGGCGCCCCAACGCCTCAACGTCAAAACCCCCGTTACTATTTCTCTGCTGCTGGGCTTGCAACTGCTGCTGTTGCAACTCCCTAGCGCGCGTCCTCTTCCCACCAGCTATAGCACAGCATGCAGCTCCGCCGCAGCAGACGGCCGCAACGATGAGAGGAATCGCAATAAAGACAGCCGTGGGAATTTTGAGGCCCCCGCGTCTCCGCCTGCGGTAGTCGCGTGCGGTTAACATTGCGGAGTTTGGGTTTGGGGACTTGGCTTCATTCTCGAACGTTGGGATTGAGATGGGTGTAAGGGAAGGCGTCGCAGTCATGAAAGTCGATGTTGCCGAGTGGATTCCCGACTTCAAGACTTGAGTCTCGCTGGTGGTGGGGGACATACTGCTGGTACAGAATGTAGTTTTGGGTTGGGAGCCTTCCTGGGCAGAAATACCTGTAGTGGTAGAAACATGTCAGCAAGACCTAGGTCCCATCGCATCCTTGGGTATGGCCTAGCAGAATGAGCACTTACCCAGTAGTAGAACCATTATGCAAAAGAAGCCAAGGAACGTCTTAACCGAAATCATCTTGAGGGCTCAGCAGGATGCGTTGCATTCTGAGTAGAGTGTTCATTCGGGATATTGCCTGTACTGACCAAAACCAGGCAAGGTACACCCGGGGGAGCAAGCTCATTATATAGACAGCCTATCCCGGTCCCTAGCATCATGAACCAGCAGGTCAATATACATCGGGCGCAGCAGACAGGGCATAGTTCGTCTGGGCGCGGGCTGGGCGCTGAATGGCGGTCATTGATTGGACGAGCAGCATCCGCAGCTGGAACCGTTCCAATCAAAGCCATGTTTATCTTGGCAACCCCGGGTATCCGGCAAGCTAACAGCTTGCAGCGCGGCCCTGAGAGAGGACAATGGCGTCACAGGGACAGTTGGGTTGAGGCTGTGTCCAGGCTCTGGACAAAATAGGAAAGGCCAGGCCGATTAAGACATGACCCTGTCCGCAACCATAATGCACCGCTGAGACAGCGTGCAGCATGCTCGGCGCCTTTTAAGATTCTCTCAAAAGAGGAAATTAAGGTCCTGTTTCCGATTCAGGCCCTGGCCCCTCACGATGTTGAGCTCGTTCGTGAAGGCCGTGTGATAGTCGGCGATGTTGGTGCTCACGGGCCGGGAATATGTAGTTGGCCAGGAGGGGCGATTTGCGAGAGGACATTGAACCCAGTTGGAGCGGAAGCCGAGGAGCTGTCCGAGCTGAGCATCCTCCGGTTAGCCCACGCTGCTTCGTCGGCCAATTTCTCGGAGGTCATCACCCACCGTTTGACCGGCACCGTCGTTTGTCGGCTGGATCTTTGCTCTAGGTAGTTTTGGGTGTCCCAAGCCTTGTAAGCTCGTTTTCGCAGGTCGTCGGGCCGCCACAGGGGCATAGGGTAGTGTTGTTTTCCTCGGTTGCTGGGGTGGGAGTGTATTTTCTCGACGGCTCAGAGACAAATATTGTTGGGATTATCCAGGATTGAGCCCGTCAAGTGCAGGTATTGTTGTAAGGCCGGTCCGTTGTGTTGCTGCTGGTTCTGGGGAAGAGGAATCAGGGTGTCTGGCTTCATTTAGTCTTCTTTCTCTGGTCAAGTACAGGGGGGGAAATGAAAATCGTACACTCAAGTACTGATCGACTGCTAGCTGACTCCATTCAAGGAGATACTTGTAGCCGGCAATACAAATGAATGATGTTGAGAAAAAGGAAGTGGGATAGCGAAGTGAGCCTGGGGTTGCTGAGCCAAGACTTGACCCTGGCAGAACAAACCTCGTGGGGTCAATCACATTCTTTCTGTAAGCGGAATATTCCTGGTCAAATGGGAAGTGGTGAAGGGCCCTTCTTCTTTCCCATGGTCACTTGCTCTGTCAATATCCGTACTCGAGAAGCTGTTTGTCGATTTGCGGACTACACTCAGTAAGACCGACGACCTCCAGCGCCTCCCGCGAGCTCTGTTTCTGGTCACCAAACCAGCAGCAGCAATTCAGCTCTGGCCCAACTTCCTGATTTCCCAGATACGGTCTCTTTAGGCTGTCGTCAAGTCATCCTTCAATATCACCCGCACAAACTCCTTCGTCTATACTCCATATGCGAGGAGCAGCGTTACCAACGCCAGAGGTTGAGCTATACTGCACAGCTGCATGCGAAGAGTCTCTCACCTCTTCCCGCCGGACTTTCAATGGATCCTGTGCCGAAAGGGCACATTTTCAACCAGCAGAGTACAACAAGCAGCTTTCTTTGGCTCTGGCTAACGCGTTAGCTTGGGCCTACAAGGTCTCTCGCATTCGGGACTCGTAAGTAAATCCACTCCCGTCATCCACTCCCATCCTCATACCTCGTGCCAGTCGGTATCTGATCAAGCTCGTAAAAAACAGGATTTCGTTTCGCAGCCCCAGAGCCACATCAAGGAAGCATGCCCGTATACGGAGGAGTTATGATGAGCTCCGTCTGCGGACACGGCCAGCCGCATCCAGCTACGTACCCTTCCCTCCTTTCGTTCTGTGGCGTATCTGATCCGAGCTATCCATAAACCTCGTTGCACATTCACCCCTACAGCCACATCTACGCCAGCAGCATACCTTCTTCCACACCTACACCTACACCCACTACATGCATCGGCACCACCTACACAGCGAGAGATGGCGACACCTGCGAGTCCATATCCCACGCACACTCTGTGGGCACAGGCCGCATAATTCAGCGCAACTACCTGGACTACCACCTTTGTCCCTAGCTCCTGGATTAGAGCCACGCATTCAAAATACCTGCACTGAGTTAACGGTCCAAGCCAATGTTACCTGCCAGGGTATCATACAGGGCAATAGACGAGCACTCGGCCAAGTGAACCCGTCTTCTGTCACTCTACGTTGCATGACGACTGTGAAAACTAAAAAGCCAATGGTTGGACGGAGGCTTCACGTCTCGTATGGCCCATAGCCCCCTCCTCGTTTAAGCCCTATCTAGCCCAGACTAACCCTGTATTCTCCAGACACCCCGGCAGCAACGGGTCTTTCACGCTCCCTATTCCCGCAGAATAACAACATCTAAAGATATGCGGCAGCCTCCTCGCAGAGATTACAGTGTAACACTGGAACTAAGAAGTTAGTATAACTATGAGGCCTTTGACCTGCTCGCTTAGGGGGAGGGCTGTCTTCCACTGTTTGACGAGCACCGCCAGCCTGCAATGACGGTCCCGGTTCCGAGCTCTTACGTCTATTGCGGTAAGTTGCACGCCTACGCATACCTTATACTAAGATTGCTGGAGAAGTTCAACCTCGACTACGAGCCCCACTCCAACACAGCCAGATATGTCCTGTCCAAGGGTGTGCACGGCCTTCCACATCCACAAGGTAAGCTCCGGCAACGAACGCGGTATCTTGACAAGCAAGGAGGGTATCTCCACGCCCGGCCTTCCCATCTGACTCTTACGCCTGGAGTCCAGATGTTTATAGTGAACATGTGGCCCTAGGATCGGATTAGTCCACTAGGGTGCGACCATTAGAATGCCGACTCCAACGCCAACTCCATCAACGATACTACTATGTGCATCCTAGCTGTCCACAAATACCTGCCTGACGGTGGCCCCGCCAAACATGTGGATGATGTTCTTGAGCGCACCACTGATACCACCCCGGAACAGGTAGCAGCCAGCATTGACTATGGCTTATTGCAGCCCATGCAAGCGGTGGCAGGAAAGACCTCCAGCATCTTTGTGATAAGGTCAAGGCGAGCATGGTCAAAAGCTGTACGAGGTGTGAGCAGGTCGATGTGGGTGGCCAGTGCGAGGCTTTGCGAGGAATAACAATATCGTCCTGGACTTTTATACCCGGAACCCAGGTGTTGGGAAGGGGTGTGTGGCTTTCGCTGGGATGCTACCGTATGTCTGGGTAAGTGTGCATATATGCGCATCTTAGGGCCTTGACCTGGTAGTTCACTTCAACTAGAGGTTGTGGCATATTATCACCAAGAAATATCTACCATTTTTGGCACAGGTTGGGTATTTTCCTTCCTCATGAGTCGTATTTCCCTTCGTATGTACGCTGATGCGGCTACGCAAGCGCTTGCAGTGACATGTGTATTCCAACAGCTCGTCTATATCAGCCCAGCAGGTAGGCATCATGAGGCCAAGATAAATAGAAGCCAAGATAAATAGAAGCCAAGCATGAGTCGTCGACAACGTGTGGGTAGTCCTCCGGCTAAACAGGAATCCTCTTCCCCACGCCCCTCAAGAATTCACACCTCTCTTTCAATTCCTGCAGCTCGACCTCTCCAAAGCCGTCTGCCCCTATGATCCACTCCTTTCCAGTTTCGTGCAGCTCCGGAACCCCCAAAACATCAGCCGCAGTCAACTTGTGCGCATTCGGATCGCCCGTCTGGAAGAAAGAGCCGAAGGCACCGGCAAAGCCTCTGTAGATGAGCGGATTCGTTTGCTGGACGGAGTTGACTCGGTTCCACTGTAGGAGAGTAGGATTAGTATGGGAATGTACGTACAGAGAGTATTGGGGGTAGGATAGATGCACTAACGTAGCCAGTATCGTCCCCATGCTGCGCCGGTGCACGCGTATACTCCGCCAGGTATCCCTTCTTCTCTGCGGCAGAAGCTAGCCAGTATCCCGGGCACGTTAGGACAACATCACGGTATATTAATCCCGCTCGTACATATGTGGTATTGTAAATATCCAGTGTCTCGGTTGTACCTATCTCCGGATAATACTTGGTTTCGAGGGCATGAACTTGGGACTTCGATAAGCCTGGTAGGAAGCCCGTGATCCAGGCGTGGAAACTCGCAGATGAAGAGTTGAACGTGTCAGTAGTCTCATTCGTGTTCGCATATTGAAGACCAGGCGGGACAAAGTCCTCGCCTTCGTGTGCGTTATGCGTCGCGAAGAAATAGTCTGTTTCGATTAGACCGTGCGTCGTTGCATCGGTTAGTGTATGAAGAAGGAACTCGTCATCGATAACAGGCGCCCATGTATACGAAGACGTCGTCCACTTGTGGCTCGCGCTGATAACCTGGTTTGCGTCGCGGATGGCTTGAGCGTCGACACTCTTCAAGCAAGCCAGTGTATCATCTGTCCCCTTGCAGCCCGTCAACTCCACAAGACTATCATAAATCTCCTCCGCCTCGTCATCATCGTACCGATACGTCTTCGGCCAGAACGGCGAGCTGGCCAGGGCCTTCGAGAAGAGCTTCTTCTTTCCCCTTCGTCCATTCGCAAGGACTTGCCCAACAACAGATCCCCCGCCAGCACTCTGTCCCCAGATTGTGACATTGCGCGGATCACCTCCAAAGTGCTCAATGTGCTCCTGGACCCATTTTAGCACGTACTCTTGGTCCAGGAGCGCGGGGTTCAGGTCTGAGGTGGGCGACTCCTTAATTGCTTTTCCGGGAAGGAAGCCAAAGGCATTGAGGCGGTAGTTTGGGTAGATGACTATGTAGTCGTTCAGGGCACTGACGTTGAGCACAGGGTAAGAGGAGGGCGGCAGCGAGAATGAAGCACTTCCTTGGATGAATGCACCACCGTAAAAGACGACGAGGACGGGTCTGCGAACTGCGACTGAAGAAGCCGAATCCGAGTTTGAACCTTGGTTCAAATCCGAAATCCAAGGCCGTGAGAACAGGCCTAAGTACAGGCAGTCCTCGGACCCATTGACCGTGCGCTGAGGACACATGTCAAAGGGCTGGTCTGTGTCGTAGAGGCCATCATCTATAGGCAGTGGTGGCTGGGGTGCGCGGAAGCGGTTCTCGCCGGTTGGGGGCGCAGCAAAGGGGATCTTGCGAAAGTAGGAGATGTTGTAGGTTGAATCGTATTTGCCTTGGAAGGAGCCGTAGGTGAGGTTAACGAGGGGATCACAGTAACCATTGGCATTGGCAAGGAAGGTGGTCAGTGGAAGCGCTATAGCCCACAGGGCGCTGGATAACGGGAAAGATCTCATGCTTGGGATGTAATCTCACTGATATGATCTGCAGTTAAACCACCACGAGGTAATGCCAATAGAATTATATAGGCCATGCATTTCGGGTTTATGCAGGCCGAGCTGGACATATTTGACGATGCGGGGAATCAGCTCTTGGGACCGGGCAAATGGATGAAGAACCGCTGCCATTGGTGTAAATATTTATTCCTTGCCATGGGTGTTTGGAAAACTTCCCAGCATGCTTCGGAGTGACGAGTGGAGATGGAAAAGGTGTGAAGGAATGAAAGGGGAGAAAAGGATGATTGATGAAGAAGGCTAGTCAGGTGGAAAATATGACATATCTTCAAGAAATCTAAGTGTTACATGGTATAAATACAGAAGCCAACCACAAAGCAGAAGGAACAAAGTCCGAGAGCAAAAGGGAATTGCACTCGAATAAAGTACCATGGTCCTCATGATCTCCATGCCAAATAACTCATCCTGAACGCCAATCTACCACAGATAAAAGGCTCGAACCAATCGCCGCCTGAAACTCCACTCACAAATATAGTTTCATTACATAGTCATTCGGAGGGCTCGAGTGTGCCGCCGCGTCACCCGAGTGCTACCTCGCTCGTCGAGGGCCTCACTGTCTGGGGTTTCACTGCGCATATCAGACAGCTCCGGGGTGGGCGTAATACCAAAACTGACTCCACGGCCCCTGCGAGATACAAGCGCCTCTTCTTCAGGGTACAAGAATCGATGAACAGTACGGTGATCCATCACTCTCTCTTCGTCGTCGTTCGGACCCTCCTTGTCCGTCTTCGGCCAGCGAAACCCGTAGAGCATAGAGTGGCGCTCGCAACGAGGACACTCGCGTCGGGTCAAGTAGGAATTTTGTTGTACGAACCACGCATTGCAAGTGTGGCAGTCTATCCAGCGATCATATGAATGTGCTAGGAGTTTGGGGGTTTTGGTGTAATCCCCAGGGACTCGTGTGAGTTTAGATTCTGGCTCAATGGTCAGATAGATCTTCTTCGTTCTGGGCTTTCTCGGTTTCTTCACATGTTCCAGTGCTTCGGATCCCGTCTCTAGCCTCACAGAACTCGAGATATCGCTAACGCAGCTGTCGGCGCGCGATTGCGCCTCTAGACATGCTGTTATAGTAGTGGGGGGTCCGCAAGATGGTTCCACTTTTAGTTTGACTTGGGTCGCGGGACCCGACATCGATATGGTCGTTTCAGCCAGTATTGAACTCTCCCCAAGCGCCGCAAGCCTTGTTGAGGCCCTAGTTGACCTTGTTTTGACTCCGGTTTTCTCGTCACAAATCGAAGTCGCAGCGGTGGACGTCGATGATCTTTGCGATTCTTCGGGCGTGAGGGATGTGAGGGATTCTGAATCTGTACCAGAGGCTTCTGCATTGTCCCCAGTTTGACCGCTATTACCTGACTTGCCAGCTTCTGACACTGGCAGAGACAGGTTTGGTGTTGCAATACGGGGTTCAGACTCTATTGAGATAGCAATATCCTCAGTGAGTGATAACTGAGACCGCAACTTGGAGCCACGTGGTGTGAATTTTCCCCGCTTCCGTGGAGTTGAATATGGAGAAGTGTCTGAGTCAACGTCCAATGGCACCTTTCGTTTCCTCGGCGTAAGGTAGTTTTCGACAGCCCCAGGTTCCGGTGTAGAGGCTTTGCTTGGTGGCTCAGAGTCATTCTGTGACCAACCGTTCCGAGGAACGCGTTCGCAACTAAGACACAGACATTCGCAATTGTCGATGCCAAAGTAGTCTTCTCCGTACGAAACCGTAATTTCCTCGCCAATATATATGTCCCGAGTGGCGACGACCTGCATCCCCTCAGAACCTCGAGTTACCAAGCGCCCATTGGCGCTGCAATCATGATTTGCGAAGCGGGCGGGACCCAGGAAAAAAGATGGCGTTTTCCTCCGGCTCGACATCACGATACTAAAGTCCTTTCTCTTCAAATCCAAGTCCTGCTCCTCTTCTTTAGTCATCGGCACCAGTGTCCCGCTTAAGTACTTGATCTCCTGGCCCTGCGGAATGAATCGCCGGGCACAGATGGCGGCTTCGTGTTCGGTTATCGTATAGCGATTGGTAGTCGTAACCTCAAACGGGCAGTCGGGAAGGTACATCTGTATATATTTGCGAAGGTGCTTGCGGAACCAGTCCTTCTCACGATCGTTGGGAAGTTTTGCCAGGTATCTCTTCATTCCGGTTAAATCCAATATCTTGCGTTCTGCTGCAGCCACATCCTTGGCGACAATGACATCGTGCAAAAGAATCCGAGCCATCGTATCCTCGAGTAGACCGCGAACAGGGATATATTTCGTCCGATTTTTGCGGGTGTTCGTCCAAAAATAAGCCTATACCAATCGCCTAGTTAGAAAAGAACTATAAAGTCGCCAGGCGCTGAGAATGCCTACACAGTCAACCAGCGCATCCGTTGCGACATCGTCATAGCTGGCCAATTTCGCAAGTGTCAGACGGTCGCGCCGTTCTACAGACGGACTGGACCGGGCCTTCGAGAATGGCATGGTGTGATAATTGATCACAAAGTCCCATAAATTCCAGCTTAACACTTTGGTGAGGTTGAGTTGCAATTGTTGGCTGAAGAAGGGGTCAGTGTGACCAGGGGAACAAGCAGGAAAGTGGCTGGGAGCAAATATATAAAAAAAGAGCGAGAGTATAACACAATTATAACAAAAGAAGATTTAATTCCCAAATGACCAACATAATGAGGGGTCTGGAGTCAAAGACTTGAGGGGATATAGTGAGACAATCAAGAAATGAACGGGGGGCTACATCGGAGACACAGGACTTGGACAAAGAATGGAGCGGCTGGAGGCCGCTGCCCTTCCAATGGACGAGTGCTGCCTGATTTCGCAGGCCGCAGCTGCTCTGACCGGGGTCGGTGGCCGGGAAAACTCCCCTCCGGCAATCTTTCGAGCCGCAGATGTTGATCGGACGGCTGCTGTCGGCGGAGTTACAGGACCAGCACATACAGTCAAGATGATTCAGTTAAAGGTTTGTTGGCTGATCGAAACTTTCCTGATTGGTAGATTGGCGTGTCTAGCTAACCCTCCATAGACGCTGCTAAATTGCATCGACAACTCCGGTGCCGCCGTGGTGGAATGCGTGAACGTCCTAAAAAAGAAACGCGCCGCAACAGTCGGTGCGTACTACTGAGTCGGCTTTTTTTTTTTGATGCGCTTCTGATTATAGTTCTCCGTGATTTAGGTGACCGGATTGTTATTGTCGTCCAAAAACAGCGAAACTTCGGCCCCGAAGGCACAAGCAGCACCGGTATTGCCAACAAGGTTCGCCGAGGAGATATCCGCCACGCCGTCGTCGTTCGAGTGAAGAAGGAAATGCAGAGGCCAGACGGAACTCTCGTCAGGTTCGATGACAACGCCTGCGTGCTTGTGAACAAGGCTGGAGACCCGATCGGAACCAGAATGAACGGTTAGTTTCCGGTGTATGGAATCACCACGAAGGCAGTGCTAACTAAGGTACAGGAGTCGTGGCTACGGAACTCCGGGGGAGACAGTGGTCGAAGATTCTCTCACTGGCACCGATGCATGTATAATATACCATTTGGGCGAATCATTTTATTAGGCGTTCACGTATCTATCTGTATCAATAGAATATACTTCTTGAATTCTCCCTAGTGACCCCAAATCGCCTAAACTCCCTGAACATGCGGTAAACGCCAATGATGGGTATCGAGGTATAGAATAGGTAAACAATGAAAACTTATAAGAAAACATTTCCGCAGTGGCAGCAGACATAGTAAAGTTTCTGAAAGACAGTTAGACACCGAGCACCGAACAATCCAGAGATTCAAGGTGCTCACCATTCCGGTTTCCGCAGACCGCTGCTGGGACTGGAAGAATACTGCCTCAGGATGCGCACACTTCGGACAGACCTTGTTGGATCGAGGGAGCTGTAGAAAGAAAGCGCAACAAGAAAGCGCACGTCAGCCGGGAAGTTCAAACCCGCATTGAGTCTTCCAAGCACATAGCAAGCAAAAGGCTCCAGGCCAATAATTAAGACATCGAATCACAGACGTAACAAGAGATGGGTTCGCCGCAGAACAGGCACAAGCCGGAGAGACAAACCGTAGGATCACTTCCCACATCCTGGGTCACACCAGCGGTGTCGCCGACTTGGCTGGTGAGCTTGTTTTGATAAACGCAGTTGGATGTTGCGGGCTCGCCGACATGGCAGGTTCGGCATGTAAACTGCAGGCGGTTGTTGATGCGGTCTTCCTTCGGGTAGAGCAAGTTGGAGCATTCGCGGCAGAAGCGGAAATGGACCTGTTCGGTCTGCTTGTTATCGCCATCGGCGGACGGAGACGGACTGGCAGACATTTCTGCGGTGTAGAGTCGAAGAGAGCGGGGAGGTTGTATTAGGTAGGTAGCGCGGTAGTTGGCGACGATGGGTCAAGAGAGGTCGAGGGGGGAAATGATAGAATTAAGAGAGAAGAAGATCGAGACGGACAAGAACTGTCAAGAAGATGAGTCCAGCTCGAAGTCTAAGATGACTCTTGAGTCTTGTCCGACTGGCGGCGGGATTCTGGACCGGGTTTGCACTGTTTGTCGGCTTTGCGCTGTTTGTGGCTTCCCCTCCTCACTTTTCCCCGCGTCATCTTAGTGACCTATCTGCGACTTACTAGAACTATATCTTTGAGAAGATTTACCTCAGTTCGTACTTCTGAACAGCTGCTGAAGCTCGCAGACGAAATGGTGTGTTTTTCTTGCTGTCTCTCAGCTGAATCATTGTGAATTAGCCTCACATCATGACTTTCATCACAGGCAAACACGGGTCTTCCAGCAGGATGGGAAGTTCGCCATTCGAACTCCAAGAACCTTCCATACTACTTCAACCCCGCCACCAGAGAGTCGCGATGGGAGCCCCCAGCGGACACGGACATGGAATCTCTCAAGGTGTACATGGCTAAATACCATAGCGGCGCCGGTGCTTACCCAGAAGCTCCCAGTCAAGACGGCAAGATCCGTTGCAGTCATCTTCTAGTCAAGCATAGAGACAGTAGACGGCCGAGCAGCTGGAGGGAGGCTGAAATTACTCGAACAAAAGAGCAGGCGCGCGAAATTCTGCGCGGTCATCAGGAGCGCATCCTGCGGGGGGAGGTCCGATTAGGAGATCTTGCAACGTCCGAGTCGGACTGCAGTAGTGCTAGGAAGAGGGGTGATCTGTATGTCTTTCCAATAGCTCTGTTTTGTCGCTGCCTGCTGACCGTCTGAAGTGGCTTTTTCGGTCATGGTGAAATGCAAAAAGAGTTTGAAGAAGCAGCGTTCGCCCTGCAACCAGGCCAAGTTAGTGACATTGTTGAGTCAGGATCTGGTCTTCACCTCATTGAGCGGTACGTGCTCTTAAGTATTTTCTGGTTAATGCTAATGGGGATGTTATTGTAGGCTTCAATAAATGATTTTTGGACACAGACCTCTTACTTTTTTATGTTGAGTTGCCCCGGAGAAGATGAGTCCTTTTGCTTGTACATCTTGGCTTTGTTTGCCAAATGCACAATGTCACTGCGGTGACATTTATTTGTAGATCCTAGATGGACATACTTTCACTAAAAGAAATCATCATAACGTGTTTAGAGGCCTTGTTAACACATCCATTACTCACAGCGCAGAAGATGTTTGACAGATGTTTTCCGGCAGCAACTTCTCTTACTACAAAGCCCACCTCCTTCAACTTCGTTTTCTTCTCCTCTTCCTGTAGCTAATCTTGTCAGTCTCTATGTCAATGTTTCCCGTTTTCTCGTACCCCTTGGCTGAGAGGCCTCTTCGCTCAGCTTTCAATCCCCGACAGCGCCTCTCTCGACGTCCAACCATGCGCCCCATCAACGAACCCAGCATCCCTCATAACACATCTCTCCCGACCAAAGCTCTCGATCTCCCCCGCCATCTTAAAGGCGTCACTCCGCGCCATATCGAACTCGCATTCACCAAGTGCGGCGTCGCAGCAGCCAGAATTGTCATTTCCTTGAATGCGCTCAACAAGCGCAGACAGTCGCGTTTCGAGGCGCTGTGTCCAACAGATGACGCCATCCGATTGACCCGCCATTGCAATGCCGTCAATCGCCTCACAGCCTGGAGAGAAGACTACGATATTCGCAGTCCAACCTTTGCGCCAACACCAAAGCTCACACGAATAGACCTGGCAGGTCTTTATGTCAGTCGAACCGCATACGAGGAGTGGGCAGAAGCGTACCGAAGCGATCTAGTTCTTTACATCGACGGGCAATTTGCAGAATACCGCAGGTTAAAAGAGGAATTTCTATTAGAAGTTCAGGCGGCGCGAACATTCGATATGGACGAAGAGGACTCGAGGATTCTGGAATGGCTTTTTCTCAGCGAGATGGAGAGGTGGGAGCCCTGCGTCAAGAAGTTACAGCTTCCTTCTTATGATGAGCTGCTCGACGAGGTGTTTCGTGCTATTCGGGGCTGGGTTGATGGGGCAGAGGAGTTACTTGCAGAAGTTCAGGACACCCACGGTGTTAATTTGTGATATTTCTGGCTGTTTTTGTGTTGGAACGTTGGGCGCATCTGGCGTTGGTATCATTCCGACTTTTGCTTGGTGAAAATTGGGATAGAGTCTTGGAATGGCAGGCCACCTCCAAACTCGCGACATACTGCACGGTACTATTCTGAACGGAGTTTCTGAACAACATGTCCACTACGTCTAAATACCCCGTCAAATGAGCAGCTTATCTGTGGAGCACTACGTATGGGAATTGAAAGGATATTGCCCCTCTGAACTACGCACCAAAGTACTTGAGATCTGAAACAAGTATGCAATCCAAGATTTATTTCCAACGGACCGAAGAGATCTATGACCTAACCATCTATTCCAAATACCGCACCAAATGCAAGAACTACAGATCAACTCCATACATACTTCTCAACCTCACCCTCAGCCGCCTCCGCATCCGCTTCTCGCTTCGCCTCCTCCTGCGTATAATATGCCTCATACTTCCACGCATTCCGCCCATTCCTCAACTTCGCACGCCTAAATCACAGACTCCAATCAGTAAACAGTCCAATATAAGGCAGCACAGTAATAAGAAAAGAAAAGCACTTACCTTCTTCCAACCCTCTTCTCCACAACCGTCACCATCTCCTCAAGCTCCTCCCAGCGGAAATCGCTACGCGTGCGCCCCCACTTCCCAAAGACCTTCCACTGCTCGATCTCATCATTCTCAAGAAGTATGAGCATGCCCAACTGCTCCGCAAGCGGGAACGTATCTTTGCTCGCGAGCGTCTTCCGAATATCGGCGTCTTTCCGGACCCGCGCGTGTAGCTTCCCCAGACACAGTTCGCAGAGGAGAATACACTCGGTCAACTCTTGCAGGCTCCGCATCTTGCAGTTTGGGTGGTTTCTTGTGTGGAATCGCAGCTTTTCGGTGGCGGGGTCGGGCCTGAGCGTGGAGCAGGGGTACCAGAACTCGTCGATGATGCAGCCGCAGAGGAATTTTGTTTTCCAGAAGATGCACATCTTGCTGAACTTGTTTCTTTTGAGCTTGACTGTGATATACTTGGATAAGAATATCTTGTAGATCAAGTAGCGATGGCATGGTAGAGGAGGCATTGCTGCGTTTGGAGAGTGTCTATATAGGGTGGTAGGAGGAGTGTGGTCAAAGAGCCAAAGGACAATGAAACTTGTGATAAAGATTACAGTCAATGAAATTCTGCACGCTCTATGGTAAGACTTCTTTGTAGAGGACGTAGAGAAGGTTTGTGAAGACCATTGTTCGTTGCTTTCATGCTGCAGCAAATGTCTTGGATAGGGTTTTGTGATCACATGATCATGGCTCTGTGTCAACATCACCAACTTGGAAAGGAGAAGTTAAGCATAGAAGAGTATTAATATTGATGGGTCTATCACTACCAAAAGAGAGTAAAAGTACAGTACTTCCAAAGAAACCTCCTATTTTGGAGCTTACATGAAAGTGTTCAAATCAAAGGGTATATCCTATCCAAACACCAATGACAATCCAAGCATACGCCATTTCAAACTCAAACTGCATGTTCAACCCCCCAAAAAAGACTCTTCTCGGCAATTAGCCGGTAGTATGTCTTTCATCGCAGCGACGTTCACCACCCCTCTCCCAGCTAATAGCCTCCTCCACCAGTAAACCCGTAGCTCCCTAGGTGCGGACGCCAGAAACCGTGCACTTAGCACCCATCCATCCTCAGCACGCTCGATCAACGCCACGAAGACTTGAATAACAGTAGTCACGAAAGACGAAAGGCCTAGCCTAGGTATCTCCTTCTCCCACTTGTGCATCTCTTCTAGGTAACCCTGCCAGTGCGTCCGGACCCGGCCCACCGCACGAGCAGTGGGAAGAGTCCCGTTCGCGGCAGCGTCATTCAACGCTTTTTCAAAGTTTACCTTTGCGTCCTGATAAGCCACCCAAGGGCCGTTGAGCAGTTGGTTCATGGTGTCGTTGTACTTGCTTGCCCATTCCTCGTAAGCGTGCATGTCGATATGTATCGCCATAAGCCCTTTTGGAAGCTTTTGGTTGGGGATAGTAAGGTATTCCTCCCCCGGCGGGAAACGGGGCGTCCAGGCGCGGAGTTGTTCAATTGACTCGCAGTGGTTGACGTAGCGGGCATGATGACCTGGGTCTTCGTCTTGAGTAACAAGCGGGCAGAGGCGGTTGTAACGTGAGTTGTGTTCTTGATAGAGAATTTGGACGACTTTCATTACGGCTCCCCCGGAAGCATAGAATTCGTTGAGGGCTGTGCGGAGATCACCAGCGATGACTTTGCGGATGTACGGAGTCTCGATCATTCGATTCATGTCGACTTGAGGTTTCGAGACGATGTTACACTGCGGCAGAGGCGGGATATGGGAAAGATTCTCAAGAATCTCGTGTATTGGAGCTGCCTCCGCGAAGATCGTTGGGCGATCCTCGTCGGGGACCTTTGCAAGGTTGCAGATGAATGACGCGAAAGTGGTTAGGTGTTCTTCACTGGAGCCGAGAGGACGGACCATCTCTAGATAATACCAAGGACAAAATGGCGACGGAGAGGTTGAGAAGAGGGATAATGGCAAGATGGAGGAGAAAGAGACGGTGGTATATCAGAAGTCTGCAGCATAATGGGGGAAGAGAATGAGCGAATGAAGAAAAAGAAGAGAACTCAACACCAGAACAACCATCTCTAGAGATACTGGAACTATTGCTCTGTGTTATTGTGTGAGGGTGGAAGTGCGAAGAATAGTGACAGCCCCACTCTTCTGTGAGCTTGCCGGCCAAAGAGTTGCTTGAAAGGGAAGGGGCAGAGCAGAGTGGGCTGCCTTGAATCATGGTCTGGGACCTCACAAGAAAACTTCCTGGGGAATAGTAAGAATTGTTATGCTTTAGCAAATCTATGGCTAATGAACACGCCTCATCAACACCAAATGCTGTGGCATAGAGATACCGCCCGAAATTGCAAACACAAGATCAAACCATCGTATTGAGCCGGGCCAGGCGCGTAGTTATGGACTCGATGACAGCAGATCTATAAGGGGGTCAGCAAAGTCCAAGGAACAGTATGTTGCGAACGTACTCTCGCTCCACCATTTTCATAGCATCAGCAATCTTGGCCCGTTGGAGGCGCTGAGGAACCCTTGGCTGTGCGCTGCTAGGAGAGCCCGGGGTGTTGGGCTCTGTCGCAGTTGGGATTCTAGAAGCAACAGACTTGGCTTCTGTGAGCAGTTCTGATGCGATTTCCTTGACCTGGACGCTGTTAGCAAGTGACTCTGAGATGCCAGGAAACTTGCGACTTACAGACTCCAGCCGCTGGGATATTTGCTCGGCGGATTCCTCCTTGCGCTCTTTATCAAACGACTGCGAGAGCGCTTCAACCTCAGCGAACCAGGACGACTCTTTTTCACTAAGCGGCCGGCCGCCCGACTTGAGAACCTTGTTGCGGATAGCTTCGTATCGCTGAACAAGTTCTGTCTGTCGGTCCTTGGCCTCTTTCAGCCTCTCGTCCAATGCCGCAGTGCTCCTAGATCCTTCCTTCCTCTGTCCATCCTCGCTGATTTCACTCGAGACGCCCTTGATCCGATCGGCTACATCAGCTACCTGTCCTAATTGATCGCGCAATTCTCCCTGTAACCTCTCACAGCGGCGGAAAAGGTCCGATGCAGCTCGCTCAAGCGCGTTAGTATGGGCAGACAAAATTCGGTGCGCAGCCGCCACTAGGTCTAAAGTAGCCGGTGACAGGAGCACCTTCTCCTTGAGACTGCTCCGGTAGCGATGGGGTACGTGCTTATCGACGAAGAACTCCAGGGGAGAGTCCGAATACAGAATCGAAGGAACCTGGTAAGGAGGCCGATGGGGAGGGACTGTAGGCGAATCGGTTTGCTGGGCGCCCGTCTCGAGAGAGAACGACGGGAAGAAATTAGGCTTTTCGAGAACCGCAGCGTATGGGTCGCATGCGTGAGAGGTGAGCAGTAAGTAACCCAAGTCATAGTCATGGTAAACCAAAGAAGCTGGGAGGTGGGCCGGCTGACTACTAGAAATACTAGCATCATCTACCTTGATGATCGATTCCAGGATAGACGCATTGCCTTCGCAAAGGATCTGGAGGCGGAAGGCCGAGCCTGAGGTGTCTTCGGACTGTAGTTCATCCTCCAAGCGCTGGATCCACGAAGACAGCGATATAAAAACTACGCTGTGAGAGGTTGTCACGAAGAAGTTATAGCGGGAATGGGCATCAGGTGAGAACATGGGCCACGTATCCGATGTTCGACGATCCTCTTCGACAGTATCGAGAGCTTCCAGCAACAGTAGGTCGGACTGCTCCGAGTCAGGCACGCGGAATGCGTTCTTTCTAGCTTTCGGGAGCCATTGTCCCTCTACTCCGCCAGTCTCAAGGCAAAGGTAGACTCTGCCACTCAGAGAGGACAGACAAATCACGGTGGCTGATAGTTTGTCGCCACCACTGTTCAGTGTCAATTCATCCTCCTCGCCCATCATCAGAGCATCAGTATCAGCCTTGGCCGCAATAACAAGCATATCGCACAAGTCGAGATCATCAGCATAATCTCCGGTATCAACGCGGAAAGGGCCCTGAAGTTTGGGTATTGCGCCAAGATTAGCGGGGCGCGTGAGAATCTCAGACTCGGGTTCTGTTGCAGAACCGGGAATTATCTGTAGCGGTTCTTGGTTATCGAGTTCCGCAAGCCACTCGTACTGCTGTCGACAAGCAGCCAATTGGTCTCCATAATCAAGAGGATCTTCCTCCAAGACGGACATCTTCGGAATGATTGCGGCAGAGAGTGAAGGAACAGCGGCAGACGGTGCCCTCCATTTAGAAGGTAGTAATGGGCAGAGCGCATAGAGATCACCTGGCTTCATAGCAATCCAGAGCGTCATTGCAGCCCAGGCATCCTCCTTCTCGCTTCCAACACCCCCGAATCGAGCCGACGCAACCTCCATGTCAACATAATCAGAGGAAAAGCCCTTGTTCTTGCCGAAGCCTGAAGGCGCAAAGTCCTGGTCTGAGGAAGTCCCATCAACCAGCTTCCTGAGGTCGGCAGCCACCGTAGGACGATCAAACGACCAATGGTTATTCCGGTCCAACTCCCAAACGCGCACCACCGCATCTTCAGTTACCGTCACTAGGCACCCTGCGAGATTGCTGTAGACTCCGAGCGGATGCCACAATGCCGATACCACCGGGGATTCCGGAATGACATGTGTCGTTGGGCCAAGTTGATAGGTTTTCACACGGATTGGGGAGGAGTCCGCTGTGGACAAGTGCGCAGAATCCGGAAGCACGGCGATGTAGACAGTGTGGTCTGCGACGATTGCCAGAAAAGCGCCGTTCGGAGAAGGGATGATCTGTCGAATCTGGTCGTATACCGGAACTGTCAAGATCTAAATACGATCAGCAGGTGTCATAATCACAATTGTAGTTAACCCATAAGCGTACCCGGTAGGGAGCGCCGCTCTCCGTATCATTGCTTTGGTTCTTGGACCTAGCGCGCTGCTGCCATTCATCCTTTAATCGCGTGAGGCTCGACCAGCGGATTTGGTTGTCAACGACCGTGAGCACTTCATTTCCTCGTCGTGCCAGTGTGCGCGACGGGCCGAGATACGGGGCATCTTTGGTGTTTTTGGAGCTTGCTGGATCCTTGGGTGCTGGACTCGAAAACAGGGCGGCGCCGGGGGAAGGGCGCGAGAGCCATGGCGGAGTGTAACTGATCACTTTCGGCATTGTCGAAACAAATATTCCATCAGTTCGTCCTATCAAGATTCGGATGCCGCGCTCTGGTTTATTGTGTCCAGCTCGTTGAGTCTCACAGGAAATTTCAGTTACCAGTTGAAGGAGGCCGGCGGACAAAGCAAAAGCAGCGGATGCCAAGACAAACCCAAACGAAGCTCTCCTGCGCTCATCTCTCCGCTTTCCTCCAACAACCTTCAACAACAACATTTGGTCACTAATCAGACTTGCTCATTGCTGTCTGGCTCATTAACATGAGTATACCGGAGCGCCGTAACACGGTCGAGCGCCTCGACCGGCCCAGCGCCTACTACGTGGGAAAGGTACAGCTTTGCAGGCCTTCTTTAATAGCTCCGACGAAAGTTCCAGTCGCTGATGTTTGGGCTATGGACAGAACAAGAGGCGCAAGTACAGCGGCGATGAGCCGGAAGAACCAAAAGACCCTATGGAAGGTTTGAGGGATGCCACGACTCTCTATGTCGGAAATCTGTATGTTCAAACAAAACCTCTCTTGCTGGCCCAACCCGTCCAATTTCTAACTGTCATAGTTCGTTTTACACTACAGAGGAACAGATTCACGAGCTGTTTTCAAAGTTCGATTTCCTACCAGCACTATTCGGATCAACACTGACGCGACCCAGATGCGGAGAAATTAAGCGCCTCGTAATGGGCCTCGACCGGTTCAACAAGACACCTTGCGGATTTTGCTTCGTCGAGTACTATACCCACCAAGACGCCCTTGACTGCTTGAAATATGTTGGAGGTACAAAGCTAGACGAGAGAATCATTAGGACGGATCTTGATCCTGGCTTCGAGGAAGGCCGACAATACGGGTATGCTACCCAATCCAATTGCCTTGTGGCCGACAGGATACTAACTCGCAGCACAGACGCGGTAAGTCCGGTGGTCAAGTCCGTGACGAATACCGAGAAGAGTATGATCCCGGTCGTGGCGGTTACGGACGAGCATACGCGGATGATCAACGACAACGCGAAGAAGATGAGTACGGAGCCGGTAGGTAATAATGTGAAAGAGTTGTCTGTCTTGACCGGCGCAGTTACGGCGTTATTGTCCAGTATATTTTGTCCAACACGGTAGCGAACAATGGCGCATTTATAAGAATATATCATTACGGCTGACACCGAAATCTAACATCGGTGTCTCTAATTGTCCAATTGACGAAGGACCATCACGGTCCCTTTATGTCATAACTTCATTGCAATCGTTTCATAGAATCCTCCACTTGTCGCAGCCACCAGGAATGGATTCTTTCGTCGCCGGTCAACTCGGGGTGGAAGCTCGTGCCAAAGACGTTCCCTTGTCGCACAGCAACGATGTCACCAGTCTCCTCGTCCGCGCGAATGGAGTTCCCGTTGACAGCTAAACGCGCAGCTCTCCCAGGAAGACTGGCCAATACTTCCACCTCAGTCGACATCGCCTTCCGGGCCGCTTCGCTCTCAGCCTGTCGTGAAGGGGCGACGACGGTTTCGTCTCTCTGAGCTTCGCCCTCCTGAACACCATTTTGATGCGGCAAAATCTTCTCAACGACTGGCGCACGAATGAAGACTGCGGGGAAAGGCGATTCGGACTCATCGGAGGTGCTGAGGAACGGCAACTCAAGCGGCGCCTGGAAGCTCTCCGTCTGTCGGCCGAAGTGGTTTCGATTGACCCGAACATCCAATCCTCCGATCAACTCCTGGCCACCTTTCTTAGTCCGGTTCGCCGATTCCGCGAGCAAAATGAGCCCGGCGCAAGTTCCCCACGTCGGTTTGCGATGGACCCTGCGGGCAAGAAAAGTATGAGTCAGTCGCCGCAGCCAACCTCACCAATCCCTCGAGAACGACTTACTTGACAAAGTCCCTCAATGGGTCAAGCAGGTTCGATCGGGCCGCCACCAGCGAAATCGCTGTGCTCTCGCCCCCGGGCAAGACAAGCGCATCGCACCTCTCCAGTTCCTGCGGGGTCCGAACCTCGAGAAACTCCCAATGCGACGAAGACGCTTGCTGTGAAACTAGTGATGCGGCTGCCTTTTTCAGCAGCACGACATGTTCGTGAAAGGCGCCTTGCAAGGCGAGAACACCGACGGTAATCTTAATCATTGCACTCTATAGAAAGAAGAGGATATACTGGGAGACGTTGGCCACCCTGCTCTATTTATCGATAAAAAAGGCCGTTAGGTAAGCACCTACCGGAAATCGTTATCGCCACGTGCTGCCCCTCCTGATAAGCCCCGGAAATCGATCGGCCTTGGAGATTCGTCTCTGCTCTCGTGCGAGAGTTGCTTTTGCAAGATCTTTGTTATGAGTTACGATTGATATGAATTTATGATATCTCGAGACGCATTAGTGACTTCGTTGCTCTTTACTGTGTCAGCAATTCGCTCATGAATATCTAGCAAGTTCTAAAATCTCCGTCTTACATTAACCCCTCACACTATCCCTCAGCCTCAACACCTTATTTGGACCCATTGTGCCCCATTACAGCGCAGACAGCCATCATGGCCAAAGACAACCCCAGCGCAATATCGAGCGTGAATACATCACCAGTCCTAACAAGATGGTACCTCGACACGCGCCATCTAACCGCCTCAACAACGGCCCTTCCCCTCCTGGAAACCCTCCAAGCCACCGATCAAACCGCCGTCCAGAAATACTACCACGTGAAGGACAAGCACATGTCTCTCGCCTCCAATCTTTTGAAATATCTCTTCATCCACCAAACCTGCCGCGTCCCCTGGTCCTCGATCGTGATCTCCCGAACACCAGATCCGCACAGACGCCCATGTTATATCCCGCCAGCAGACTCACAGTCAGGCGGAAAAGATACCGTCGTAAACGTTGAATTCAACGTCAGCCACCAAGCTTCAATGGTAGCGATAGCGGGAACCACCATTTCTCCTGACAGGACCCCCAAACCCGAAGTCGGAGTCGACATCACATGCGTGAACGAGCGGCAGGGACGCAAAGGCGAAGAGCGGAGCCTGGACGCGCTGCACAAGTACATCGACATCTTCTCTGAGGTGTTTTCCGCGGCCGAGATGGATGCTATGAGGTCATTGCACGGTGCTCCGTCGTCGCCGTCTCTGACCGGCGAGCCTCTCGTGGAATACGGGTATAGACTCTTCTACACATACTGGGCGCTGAAGGAAGCGTATATCAAAATGACGGGCGAGGCGCTCTTGGCGCCGTGGTTGCGGGAGTTGGAGTTCAGCAATGTCATTGCGCCTGCAGCTGTTGCGGAGAGTGGGGAGGTTGTGGATCAATTTGGAGAGCCGTACACGGGTGTCAAGACGGCGCTATATAAGGATGTCGTCCAGGATGTGAGGATCGAAGTTGCTGCTTTGGATGGCGACTACCTGTTTGCTACAGCTGCGAGGGGTGGTGAGCTTGGGGCTGGGTCTCAGTCTGGGGCTGAAAATGAAAGCCAAGATCCGTGGATGCCCTTCGAGAAATTGGATATAGAGCGTGATATTCGGCCCTGTGCGACTGGTGTATGCAATTGCCTATCCTGACACGGAATATGATAAAATCGATCAGAGAGCGTGACATTTACAGATTGATCGCATTTATCTATCGATAGAGTATAAGACAAAAAAGATGGCTGACTGGATATCATATCATCTATAATCATTCGAAGGGTATATGAGAGTCCAATATCGCATTTCTGCTCTTCCTTAAGGGCCCGAAGTCTCAGCTCAACCTCGTTCCTCCCCCCTCATCGGATCAATTATTCCATGGCCGCATGTGCTCGCCACAGATATCGTAGTCTTTTCCCCGGATTGCAAGAGTCCGGTACTGGACTCGTGTAACCGAAAACTGATAGTCTATCGTGTTCATCCGCGCGCTATGCGATTGAGATCATATCGGCGTATCATCGTACAAGAAATTTTGAATATTCAAGGTTCAAGAAGCGGGTTATCTCGCCTGCAGCGTCTGCCCGAAACATCGGGCGAGGCGGCACTGTGGAGAGCTGCCGTGCATCGGCGTAAAATGGTCAGATCTCAACGGCAGTCGATTGCCCTTTGTGAGAGGCAGGGAGATCGGCGGGTTCGGCATTCGAGAGCTCCAGCAAATTCTTGAGCATCGACTCCCGAGTCGATGTCGTAAGCTTGTCGACATCCTCCGCAGTAAGGCCCTCGGTGCTGATAGGGGGAAGAACTACACTTGTCAGCAAGCAATTTACCTGTGACTCGTTGCAAAAGACATACCTTTAACCTTGATAGATCCAGCCTCGAATCTGGACTTTTTCGGGGCCAGAATGTGCGAGTAGTTCTCGACAACAACCGGGACAATAGGCACCCGCGCCTTGACAGCCAAGTGGAAAGCACCTTTCTTAAAAGGGAGAAGCTCAGGCTTCTCTGAGTAGCTCCTCGTACCCTCGGCGAAAATGAAGACACTCTGTCTGTGAGTCCGCATCTCCTCCGCGGCGCTATCAAATGCCTTCACAGCTGTTTCCCGGTTGGCGCGATCAATGAACACGGTCCGGGAGAGCGCCATGAACCATCCAAGGAAGGGAACATAGCGGAGGGACTTCTTCGCGGTGACACTGCAGTATGGGGGGAAGATCTCGCCGAGCATGAGAACATCGAGTTCGGACTGGTGGTTGCCGATGATGACGGCGGGGCGCGTGGACAGGTACTCCTTGCCCTCGATGATATCAAAGCGCACGCCGGTGGTGAATCTCATCACCCACTTGAAGCTGCGGGCGGTGGCCCATTGGGAAATGCGGCCGTACCCCACCAGGCGGAGGACGACCGAGGCTACTACACCGTATATCGCGCAAGCGATGAGAGAGCCGTATGATGCTAGACAACGCGCCACAAACGAGGCGCGCGGTACCTTCTGTCCGACAAGGAAGAGTGAGGCAGTGAAGGCGATGTAGGTGCTTGCACCCGAGGCGATATAGTAGAGCAGTGACATTATACGGGGTCGTTTGGGTAGGAGATTCTCTATGGAGACGAAACGCCGGAGGTTAGTCATTGGGCATTCGATATACAGAGCTTCGACACAGGGGTCATCATACCAGGAAGAGAGCGAGTAGCAGGTAACGAGATCAGATGGCCGTAGCGGAATTAAATATTTACAATTCGACCAAGAGCATGGCAGATGGTGACGGGAAGGTTAGGTTGGTTGAAGGCGAAGAAATGATGGAAGAATAGCCCGATCCAATGATAAAGGTTAGTTGAAAGTCGGATTTGGTTCCCGAGGCGAACCTGTGAATCTTTTGCCTTTGAATTAAAGTATTCAACCTTTTGCAAGCCCCAACGATTATTCGGAGGAGAGAAGCTGGGGCGTTCACATGATACTGCTGACTAAGATATGTCCGGCAGTAGGCACACGACCGCTTTGCCTCGCCGCCGAGCAGCGTCACTACAATGTATACTTCGCAGGGAGTAGAGGGCAAGCTTGAACGGCTATTGTTACTAAATAAATGTATAAAGCTAGAACGCAGTGGTACCGGAGGCGATTGTACTGTTTACTGTTTGTGATCACGAAAATTGTTGCATTTATCTGACTGCACATGACTGTTTTGAGTGTCTTCACCAGATGTATATATTTGAGCCATTTCCACTCCACACCCGCTCAATAATGATTTCATCAACATGCAACACCCTTGCTTCATTCGTAATAATGTGCATAAGAATGATCTAACTATGAGCCCAGCAGAACCGACCGTCAACAGTCCTAGCTCTGCCGCCTGCTCTCCTGGGCAAGCTTATATCCTGCTTGCAATGACAAGGCCAACCCACGCTAATATACAAAATCCAGAATCTCGAACCATTTCGAGAATGCCCGAGCTACCGTAACGCAATTCATGCTGTAACCAATCCACCGGAAAACGCCCGTGTAATGCTGATGTCGCTGTTGTAAATCCGACCCAGTAAAGAAATGCCGACCCTTTTGTATGCATTAGGGTAGAGAGTATTCTAGCGCGGAGGAGGGGTATCTGGTTGGGGAGCAATAGGAGAATGAGGCAATCAAGAGCAAAAGCAAGGGAGAAATTGAAGAAAAGAAGCGCATGAAGTACGACCCGATCACGCCATATCTTCTTCATCTTCTTCATCATCGTCAAGGGCTTCCATCGCGTCTTTGATGTATTGTGCCGCCTGAGCAGAAGTTAGTCTGAGATAAACAATGTTATGAGCCGTTGGTGGCTTACCTTAGGATCGAGGTTCAGAGCAGTCGTAAAGTGCTTGATGGCATTGCCCTTGTCACGGAGCATCTTATACAGCTTACCAAGTAGGTAATGAACGTTCGCCTCGTCCGGCGCCATATCTTTAAGGACCTTCAGCTCCGTGAGCGCTGACCGGAGGTCTTGCAGTTTCATCAACGCACGGGCTTTCCGGAACCGAGCAAGAACAGAATGAGGCGCCAAGGTACAAGCCCTGTTGTACTGGACCAACGCTGACTTCGGATTGTTCATCTTTTCCAAAACCAAGCCTATGCAGCATATTAAGACTGCATTGGTTGGGTTGATTTTGGCCGCGTTCCGGAAGTGCTGTTCGGCAAAGTCAAGTTTGCCCATCTTGTCGTATACCGTTCCCAGACCGTACCATGCATTGTAATGACGGCTGTCGGCGTTGATGCCATTGCGATAAGCATCCAAGGCCTTGTCATATTCCTCGTTGGCGACATATTCATGGCCCTGTAGCGTGAACCCATACGCAAATTGAGGATCCAATTGGGTTGCGCGCTTGAAGCACTTCAAAGCCTGATCGTGGTCTCGCTGGTGTGAAAACGAGTTGCCAACAGCAACCCAAGCCTCAGGCGATAGGCGATCCACCTCCATCAGCTCATGGGCGAGATAGGCAAGTTCGACATCGTTTTTCAAGTGCCACAGGACTGTGGAATAGATCTCCATGTCTTCTAACCTGGAGGGCGCCATGGCTTTCACTCGGACGAAGTACTTCTCGGCGTCTGAATACATCGCTTGCTCATAGTAAGCTCGTCCAATCTGGGCAAGAACCCACGGCGTCTCTCGTTGACCCTGGGAAAGAGAGCTGAAAATCTGGATAGCATCGGGGCACTTGTACCGGCTAAGACAGTAGTAGCCAGAAGCAATTTTGGAGAACAAATCTAAAATCCACGCCAGGGCTTCAACTGATTTGGTTCGCTCCGAGAGGGCGAGCTTGGATGGTGCGTTCTGAGAACTGTTTGATGTTGATCCGGATGCCCCGCGGTATTCTTTGGTGTCACTATCGTGGATCTCACCAATGTGTCGCCGATTGTTGCCGCTAACAACCCGGCCCACAGTCGAGCTTGTCGCCATCCGCGCCTTCGTCCCGGTAGTCCTCACCTTCTTGACCTCCCGTCCATCCTTCACTCCCAATGCCGCGCTAGATATTTTATTCGTTGTTGGCTTTATTTGGTTAAAAAGGCGCACACTTCGTCGTTGCCCAACGCCTTGATCGGTTGAATGTGATACCGACGGATGCGCAACTTGCCCAGAGACCGTTCGTTTCCGATCGCCAACTCTATGGCCCAATGCAACGTCTCTTTCCGTGTGACCTTCATCAGGCTCGAGCTTAGTTCGTGTTCTCGGTCGTATGCCGGTTGGCCTCATTTTAGGCGGTGGATCCATCGGGTGATCACCGCCTAATGTTTGTATTGTTCTATTCTTCTTTGCGGGGGCTAACGGCGGCTCAAACACATCTGTGCCACCACCTCCTTTGGCTACCCGGGGATCGTCGGATTCGCTGCTTTGGCCACCAGGGGTCTCCATGCCTTCACGCATAATGTGCGGCCCTGCTCCTGAAGATGCCACACTGACAGTGCTACCATTCAGCTTTTCCCATAAAGCAGAGCTCCCATGAGTTGATGTCGAGTCGCTGCGAGTTGTGCCGGCCGTGAACGGGTCTAAGCTTGGATTCGTATTGACTTGGGTCTGGAGGGCACTATCTGGAGGTAACATAAACTCCGCATCTTCAATTGCAGCAGATGATACCATGCTGTACAATTCTGGACTCATCTTGTAGATATTCGAGACCCGCATATCAACACCTTTGCGTAGGTTAGCGCATGAAAGGAGTATTCCCGCAAAAGCGCTAATTAAAGCTCACCTGTTTCGCAAAGATTCAGAAAAGCATCCCACATGAACGGATTCAGCTTGAGGGCCGCAGCGTAGCATTCTACGGCCTTGTTGTGTTCCTTGTGAGCCTGCCATAATTTCCCTTGTAAGCATAACACCGCCGCAGCATCTGGCAAGTGCTGTCGGCGCGTTTCGCTGTGTTTATCTAACCGGCGAAAACATGTCAGTATCAGTCATTTTCGCCGTAAGCGTAGACACCGTCTCGTCCGGCCATGGTCAAGGAATGATATGCTTACTCCAGTTATTCCGCGAGTTCCATTGCGCTTTACTCCGCTCCAGCGCGTTGATACCATCCGTGTATTTCCCCAAGTCAAGACAAGCCTGCGCGTACACATAAGAGCACCCGAGATGCGCGCCCCTCGAACCAAAGTGCCTGCTAGTTTCCCATGCTGCTTTCACCTGACCGTTTTGTAGGTAACACAGACCTAACAGATATGAAGCTTCAGACGTCCGAGGTTCGTAGGCATGTAAGCGGCTGGCGAGGAATAGCGCGTTCCGGGCGAGGTTATTGTCGAGATGGTAGTATATCAACTGCCGTAGCTGGCTCGAAATATGAGACGTTGACGGTGTCATCGTAGGAGGTGAACAGGTCGAGGCCGATCCAGGGTATCGATGTTGAAGGGTAGCTGGAACAGCTCAAGGAAAGGATTGATCGGGTATCGCAGAGTAAACAACTGTTAGTCGAAGAGGAGCATCAGGTAAAATAAAACCGAACCGCGTGTCCTTCGCACGAAGTAAGAAATGGCGCACGATAAAGCCGAAGGAAACGACGATTGGTGCTTCTTTCAGACAGTCTCAAATGGCCGGTAAAGTGTATCTGTATCGCGAGATCTCAAAGAGGGGAAGAAGTACGAAGTATAAATGAAGTAAAAACAGCAAATATAGCAACGGACCCTATAATCGTAGTCGATCCCTCGCCTTTATCACCGCTGAGTCCGGAGCACGGTGAAGAGAGGGCGAGTGGTGAATCCAGGCCTCTGTTGGAAAGAGTGAAGGAGAATCGGACAACTCGTGACGCCGCAGGCTAAACAAAGTCTCTGGCAAAACCAATTTGCATGTCGTCAAGGCGAGAGAGCTGCTGAGCAAGAGGGTCGGGAAACCTTTGGAATGAGTTCGCCTCTATCTCGATTCAGACCACTCGAGAGCCGAAACCTGATGGTATTTTGCTTTTGACATGAGTTCGTCGCTTTGCATTTGGCGATTTGGCTCGTGGCTGGTGGAGGCGGACTCTCGCAGGCGGGCGCGGGCGCTTGTCCGGTTGTGGAGGGCAACCACTGGCACCGGCACCGCTGGCACTTCCAGCTCTCCCACTCACACGACATCTGACATCAATTGTTCAACCGACCGGAGGAGGGGCTTGGATACAAAAGGGATATGCACCGCGCCATATAATCATCGATCTATTTCTCATTATTCTGCCCACTGCATAACTACCTGCATCGACAGCCCGCATCATCCTGACGACGCCTACATTCCTCCCATCGCACACGAAATGGCTCAAGTCTGTTCCCTCATTTCACTCCGCTCAATATGCGCTAACAGACCACCAGAAAGCATCCAAAACCCTCGCGGCCCGGAACAGCTCCGTCCTAGTCCGCAGCCATCTAATCGCCTTCATCCTGCATGCCCTCTACCTCATTCTCCATTTCACCTTCAACCGCCCCCGCGCCCTCAAGCCGTACTGCCTCCTTGCCGTCCCGACGCTCGTCATCGAATTTTACCTCGACCGCATTGGCCGCCCAACCTACGCCGCAGATGGCTCGCTGCGCTCACCTGGCGAGGATCTAGGAGCCGCTGGTCTGACCGAGTACATGTGGGATGTTCTCTACTGGACCTGGGGTTGTATCGGCGCAGTTTGCGTGTTTGGCGATCGGGCCTGGTGGCTGTGGGTTGTGGTGCCGCTGTACTCTGTTTGGCTGGCGTATAGTACGTTTACCGGTGTGAGGAGTGGTCTTACTGGGTTTGGTGGCGCGGGAGATGCTGGGGAGGCGATGGGCGCAGAGAGCAAGAGGCAGAAGAAGATGGAGAAGCGGGGTGCACGCGGGGTTGCGTATCGGTAGAGGTTGGATAAAATGCCCGAGTTGGATAGCTAGCGCTGAAAGCATTGTGGGCGTCGGAGTTGATTAAGTGTCTGACTAGGGTGTGGACTGTATATATTGCCCAAATTAAGAACTATCCTTCCAGCTCAAGAATCGCAAAAGGGTATTGACAGCATCCACCGAAAAAGAATGGGAGAGTAGATATTTTGTTGAAGGATGTGGAGCACAACAGCAAGCAGTGTAAATCATGTAACTAAGGAAGAAACTGGTAAAGCAATCGCGAAAGATTGCCAAGCAAAACTCATAGCCATATAAATCTGTCGTGAAATCATGGGGAACTATGTGGGGAATAATCAGGATCCAACAAAGCAAGACTGAAGGAAACAGGCGAGGAGTACCAAGCATAAAATGCATCCACATGACCTCTAACCACTTTCTAGAGATCAACCTGGCTGAATTGACTCTTATCAGAGTCCGCTGCTTGCGTTGATGCCGCAGCTGTAGAGCCTGAAATTTCAGTGGAAGCCTGAGTGTCTGGGATCGGCTGCGGCGTCTCATAGATGGCATTAAGCCTCTTCAAGACTTTATCAGCAAAAGCAGGATCCGTATCGGCGAGAATATGAGAGAGAAGTTCCTCGATGGATTGTTGCTGCTGGGCGGGTGCTTGACTAGGCGTTGGCTCGGTGTTGAGATCTTCAAACTTCAATGATTCGGATAGGGCTTCGGAGATCTTGGTTGCTTCGGCGTCAACAACGACCTCGTCAAGCTCAAGCCTGTCAGCATCGTCAACCTCGGCGGCTGCTTTTTCAAGAAGCACTGCGGCAGCCGCAGCTCCGAAAGGGTTAGATTCCGGAACAGCTGCATCCTCTCGTTCTGGCAGTTCGGTGTCGACTGTGCTGTCATCATCCGCAGAATCACCAGAAAAGACGGTGGATTCGGACGCGGTGTCTGAGGCAGTTTCCTGGATTTTCTCAGCTTCATGGACTTCACCAAGTTCTGGTGATTCGTCATCCTTCTCCGCATTGGAATCAGCAGTAGTGTCGTTCAGCTCGAAAGACTTTTCTTCAGCTTCGGATGGGACTTCCTGATCTTCTTGCACCACGGGGATTTCTTCCGCATCGACGTTGGGCTTAGAAAGGGGTGGTGGAGGCTCCGACCTGGTATCGAAATCCTCGCTGACTTCTCGGGCTGCTATCTTCCATCGGCCAACTTCCTTCAATCTAGCGAGCTCCTTCGCTGCGGCCTCAGCAACATCCATCCCACGTGAAAGAGTTTCGTCCGCATGCTCCTTGACAGCCTCAATTCGTGCATGTTGCAATGCGATCTCACGGAACTTGACTTTCCAGTCCTCGAATTCCTCTTTCAAGGCGTGGTAGTCCTCCCAGTCTTTATACGTGACGCCGTCCATCAATGCCCATCTCATTCCAATTTCTTGCAAACCGAGGTCCCGGACATTGTCTAGGACAGCGAGCGTAGAGTTCACTGCGACTGCAACCTTGTTAAGGAGATTCTGCTCGAATGAAACGTGCCATTCTCTGAGAACGTGAGCTCGATCTCGGATGGACACGGCAGAGCTTCTGACTTCCTTTAATAGCTCCTCGATGGCGGCCTCTTCCTCTTCCGGGGAATCAGTGACCGGTAGAGCCTCAGTAAGCCCACTGATACGGTTCTTGATAGCAGCAGTCTGCTCTTCGACGGCGCTTTCCAAAGCGTTTACAAGCTTCTCGCCCTCAGATTGTGCACCGTCCGCTACGTAGGTATCGACAATTTCAACCACGCGGCCCTCGAGACTCTCGACGCCCTTCTCAGACGCCGAAGCGAATCGCTCCTTCCAGGTTACGAGGTCAGAGGCAATCTTCTCGCGGATTTGCGCTGCCAATTGGGATGGCGATAATGAAGGTGTCGGTGTGGGTTCGGGGGTAAAAGATGCGGTAGGCGGCTCGGTGGCGGTGGTTTCCACGGCGGTGGAAGATATAAACGTGGCAGCACTTCTGCTGTTAGCTTAAGAAGAGGTCTTAATTTGGAGACCACCTTACCTCTCGGCTTCAGCCGCCACGCTTCTCAACCGGTCACCCTCGCGATAGCTCGCAAGTCTCTGGCCAATCTTCACGAGTTGAGGCTCCACATTCTCGGAGTATAGGCTAGACATCTTGGGCCACAGCGTCTGATAGATAAAGTAAACGGTCGAATACCACGCGTTCTGCGCGTGGGGCATAACAGTCGTAGTCAAAATTTCCTGGCCGGATGTGTATGTCTTCCCAATGTATGGCTGGTATTTGGCGGCAAAAGGTAGGATATAACCGTCCACGGTTTTCCAGTACGCTCCGCGAACATTGTTGTAGTATGGAGATACCGTCGTCACGACATAGTCAACGTGTGGCGCCACTTGCGCCCCGTACCAGTCCGCTGCTTTGGCCTTGGTGGTTTCGATATGGGGAACAACATTTGCATCCCATTGCTGCTGGCCATATGCCTGAGCGCGATTCAGCGCCGGCGCGCCATACGCCTGATAGCCCTGCTTCGCGATGTTTGAAGCTGGAGTGTAGACCTTCTCGTTCAGTACAACGACATACGGGCGAGCAGCGTCAACGTAAGGCGCCGCGTAGGTGTTATAGTAAGGGGTAACATGAGGCTCGACGTAGGATTTAGCTGCCAAGTACGGTTTGCAGATCCGAGGCGAAGAGTCCGTCAATTCGGCGACGTTAGACGGGCAGCGGAAGAACGGCGTCAAGAGAAAGTACCAAATGCAAAGCCTAACGGAAGGGAATGGTTAACGGAGAAACACCGATTTAGAGAATGAGGCGTAAATCTTACCGTACTAACAGTCCAACAGTCCATCGAACCCGGCTCGTGCTCCTTGGTTTTGACCTCTCGGGAGTCACGACGACTCTGTCGTTCGACTCCACTGCCTTACCATTAGAGGCCGCCATGGCTGATCTCTTCCAAGTCTCCGTGCCAGCAATTAAACTGGCAGGGTTCGTGTTTCGCGTCGCGTAGTGAGTTGCACTGTTGATGAACAGACGACAGAGACGCGACTACTCGTTCATCGAAGACCTGCGATCTCGAGGTGCTGACGAGGTCAGGAATTCGCGAGATGAAAATCTGACGGCGGAATGACAAGTGGTGCCTCAGGACTTCAGCAGCACGCGACGGACTCGGTTCGGTCTTGGCGCGCGCGGTCTAGCTTCAACAGGTCCAGGAATCCAGACCTCGGGTGGACTTGCTCGAAATTTGTACAAGAGCTGGGAAAGGAGATAAAGATGTCTGAGAGCTGACGATGTGTTCTCTTGATGGCCCTTGCGTTGATCCAAGCTTATCACTGCCGGCGATCGTCGGTGAGGTCATTGCGGCGCAGTGGCGCAAGACACCGAGAATATCACTGCATGCATAATTGTACAGCTTGTCCAGTGAGATGAGCCTCGGCAGTCAATGTGTATCTTGGCATGGCTAATTTGAAGTAGAGATGGACCGAGCGTTGCTCCAGCTGGCTCAACACCTTACCTTACTGGCAACTATCATGGCCTATGACGACACTTGACACGAACCACTGCTCCTGGGGTACTTCGCAGGGTACTGTTCGCTACTGTTCACTTCCGGTATGATAAGCTCTTCATGTTGCTGGATCTCTCCAATGTTAGTGTTAAGACTCGATAAACTGGCCAATAACAGGCCTTGTTGCTGCCGTATGCTCGTAATCTTACTGGTTCTCCTGCTGGCCCAACAGCACGCTCAAGCCACAAACTCGTCATCTTCATCTATCTTTGGAGTTCATAGCACGTAGTATGGGCGTTCGCAGTGCGGGTTTGGCTTACATTCGCACTCTTGCTATACACGCTGATACATGATCTGTGTTTGGAGGAACCATGAGTGTCCATTGAGTCATGCGGAGTAGTTTTTTGTATTCGACCTCGGCCGGGGCTGTATTCTAGCGTTGATGGATGCCCCCAGTTGCATTTGATCCATATTTCGATAAAGCTAGACCAGCTGAGGCTGAAAACCCCTGAGCCCCAGTTTTAGAAAATGACGGCCGACGTATAGGCGAAGCGTCCAATAGGAGAAGTCTGGTGTATTGAGAGGTTCGCCTTGATCGGCGGGAGAAAACTCTGTGGGGCACGT